TGTGTACATAGATCATAGTCCTGTGTTACTCCACTAGACTACTGCATTAAGGCCCCTCATCCATGCCTTGTTGCTCATGGAGAGTTTGACCATACTTCACCACACTGGCCAGCGTGGGTTGGTGAACGGTTAACATTTGTTTATGATGCTATACAATCTCACTTTGACCATATACAGTTACATATCTTTTACAAGAGAGGCTTGCTGAGTAATCATCATCATCAATGTAAGCCATGGTATTGAAATAATTCAGCCAAATGGAGAACTGTGCTCAAGGCTGCCCAAAAGGTGCTTTACTAAATACATATATTGCGTGGTTGCGTGACAGCTTTCCACACACGTTGATGGAATCAGTCCTGGATAAGAGCTCTATTGATGCATTCGTCCTTTGATAGCTAGTTGCTTTTTTAAAATTAAACTAATACTGCGTTCACTCCACAAATTGCGTTTTTTTTCTTGTATAAAGAACTAAATAAATGCTTATGTTTATTTCGTTTGTTTCTGGAACTGGCTCATCTTTCTCACTATATCGTGGCAAGTTTTGAGATATTGCATATAGAGGTCTGAATTTGTCTGTAATAAGGTAGGCACTGATCAGGGGTTGACCAGGTATGGATTTTCAATCACAGAGCTTCCAAAGTAAAAAAAGAACTTTCAGCTTGCGTGCGAGTTTTTAGGCGTCCTTATGAGATTGGATCCGGAAGTGAAAGTGTTTTTTGCCGATTTACTGTCAAAACCGGTTCCCGTCAAATGCCCTACCACCCAGCCCGTTTCATGTAAATAGGCTTGGCCGTTTGGCTAGTAGGGGCTTTCCAAAAAACTCCCACTTCAACTCCGCGCCCGCTTGAACCCCTATTGTGAATGGAATGCGGCAATACATTTACGTGCACACTGTATTGGATAGTTATAGAATGTTCCATTGCAGGGGAACCCCTCTTAACGAGCACCCCTGTGAACGACTGATCACTTAATGACGGGCATCCATAGAGCCCAGTGTATGGCAGTGTAGTTTATAATGTAGTGTAGAGTAGTGGAGTGTATAGTAGTGTAATGTCTCGTAGTGTAGAGTAGAACCCCTCTTAACGAGCACCCCTGTGAAAGACTGATCACTTAATGACGGGCATCCATAGAGCCCAGTGTATGGTAGTGTAGTTTATAATGTAGTGTAGAGTAGTGGAGTGTATAGTAGTGTAATGTCTCGTAGTGTAGAGTAGAACCCCTCTTAACGAGCACCCCTGTGAAAGACTGATCACTTAATGACGAGCCTCCATAGAGCCCAGTGTATGGTAGTGTAGTTTATAATGTAGTGTATAGTAGTGGAGTGTATAGTAGTGTAATGTCTCGTAGTGTAGAGTAGAACCCCTCTTAACGAGCACCCCTGTGAAAGACTGATCACTTAATGACGGGCATCCATAGAGTCCAGTGTATGGTAGTGTAGTGTAGTTTATAATGTAGTGTAGAGTAGTGGAGTGTATAGTAGTGTAATGTCTCGTAGTGTAGAGTAGAACCCCTCTTAACGAGCACCCCTGTTCACTTTATCACGTAAGGCTTTCGCGACCAATATTATTCATAATCAACATTTTTGGGTTAGATCGCGTTATTTATAAATGTGTCGTAACCCTCCACCACCCGACACGGCCAATCAGCAAAAAAGTGTCACGTTGACCAAAGACAAATAGTTCACTGCATCGCTTAATGACGGGCCTCCATAGAGCCCAGTGTATGGTAGTGTAGTTTATAATGTAGTGTATAGTAGTGGAGTGTATAGTAGTGTAATGTATAGTAGTATAGAGTAGAACCCCTCTTAACGAGCACCCCTGTTAACGATTAATTGTTCAACGACGAGACTCCATAGAGCCCAATGTGTTTGGTTACCGACCTTTCCCCTGTTAATGATTGGCTGTTCTTGGTAAATTAAATATTAATTAATGCATTGATTAACCATGTTTATTTTAATAGTATCTGTATTGTTAGTTTCTTTATGTGTTAACTAGTTTGTTTACCCGTCCTAGGATGGAAGCTGTAATATTTACGAAAAAATTTAGCAGAGTATAATTGTATCTTGTGTAAATTTAATGGCAGTGAATCTTGCACAAAACGAAGTCATAAAACACCTCACTTGATGTCACTGTAGCACTGTATATAACTGACCTTCAATTTGTTCAAATTCACTGCTCTGATACTTTATTCTCTTCTGCTTTCAGTCGCTGGGGTTGAAATAATTTGGAATTCGATAGAATATCTGGAAAATCACCGAGAAATGTCTATTTTAACATAATGTCGAAGCATAAATTAGACTTACCTCTTGTCTGAGGTGGTGAGGAAATAAAGACACTAAATCCACTTTATTGCTGCGTAGAATAATTGATTAGATTCACTTTCAATCAAGAAACGTGTAAAAATCCACCCGCTCATGAATATTAATGATGGGGGGTGTGGCATGTGGAGTGATGTCACGTGCGTTACACACAAACAGACATTCTTGGCTCATAGTAATATCCATTGTTTAAATACGACAAAGTTACTTTTTTTGGTGAAAAAGGATAATTTTGAATTACAGAACGAATTAAGGCTTTAATGTGTATTTCCTATACTCGCTTAAGCACCAAATCACTTAACGACCGGTTTCATGGAATCCCACCTACCGTACCAATTCAACCATTAAATCTGCAAAAGGTATTGTGTGGTCTATGTGCACAACCAATTCGATCGTTTTATTTATATATTAAAGTAACGAATACGTGTGGAATTTTATTTTAACACATGCTGGATTAACAAGTGCCATAATTAGACCAATGCAAGTTACATGTATTAACGTCTCTCTGATTAGGGCAACATATGAGGGTAATGTTTATTATTGGGTTAGTGGTACTGTGTCCCTTGTAATTGCTTATCTCAGGACAAAAGCGCATTATGGAAGTCCTTAAAGCTTTTGGGCTTGTTTGTGTGCTTGCTGAAATAAAAAAATGGAAACAACCACATAGCGTGAATAAGAAAAAAATACTTTTAAATGTACACAGTACAAATAGATACATTTTTAATCAGAATATCTATTTATACTGGAGGAATACGCTGATCTATAAAGCTATTTTTCACATATGTCCAGGAGAGGCGGGTAAGAACCTTACAACAAACAATACAAAACAACTTGGTAGGGGTGCAAAGTACAGGAGAGGGGAAAAAAATCACCCAAAAGAATACAAATAAAACTTAAACTAAAATAAATGGTTCTCACATATAGCCCTAAATGGGCTCGTTTTAATGTGCAGTACCTTAGACTTCGCTGCTGCTTGCAAATAAACAAGTAAATAAGCATGATTTTTTTTTCGATTTAAAGCTTTTGTGACTGCAGGGATTCATCTTCTTGGTTCTTTCGGCAATATACGCTGCCAAGCCTGGTGGTGCCCATTCAGACGCTGTCTTTCCGACAGACCTGTTCTTCACCTGCGGACGGCTGCTTGCGTTGTGGCCGAAACGTCGTGAGAATTATTTTATTATGTTTTATTTGTATTATTTTATTATTTCCCTTCTACGTGACTTTACCGAAAGAACCAAGAAGATAAATAAGCACGCATGCACACTGCGGCCAGAGGGACCAATTCCCTTGAAAAAAAATGTTTTAATTCCCGTAAGAAGTGGCATCGGCAATTCTTTTTTTTTCTGAAGCGTAAACCTCTCACGCCTTTTGCACTGTTCACTTTGAAGTGTTCTGCTTCCTCCCCGTCCGTTGTAATAGCTCCCTCAACAAACTGACCCCCCCATGACTTAGATTTGTCACTTTTGTTTAGTTTGTTGTCCTTCCAGAATGAATGATAAATTATGTTCATGCTTTAGGCCCATATGTGGAGGAATTGGGTGTGACTTTGCCCATGTAAGGAATACTGGAACGGGGAGCGACAGATTTATTTAAAATCGATGCCATGCTTCATTCATACTTGGTCCATGCTTGATCCATATTCGAACACAAGCGTGGGATATTTTGAATGCTAATATTATAATCGTTAAAGCGACTATTGTCACTTGATTTTATGGATATAAAGAGCCGGTATTGTGGATAGAAAAAGGCCACATTAGGTAGCCCCTTTCCGCTCATTGGCTTCCTTCTATACTAACATAATTTATAATAATTGCACTTATAAAGGGCTTTTCATCAAGGATCTCAAAGTGCTGTACAGGACAGAGCAACAGCAGGCACTCGGCATAAAACATAAATACATTTAAAAAATCATTTACGAAATGAACTAAAAGTTTAATAAGAGGAAGCGTATAAATAGGTTTTAAGGCGTATTTTACAAATAACCACAGACTCGGAGATCCTGATATCTCGTATAGGTGCATGGCTCTGGGGTGCGTTCTTGCAACAACGCGTGTCAAAGCAAAGTTTACCATTACAGGCGTGGCGATTCACCCACCCTTTGTGGACGATTTCATTGATTTCCCCGATTCATAGACGCGATTAGATTCAAAAATCGATTCTCCGTTTTTTTTTTTTTACAATGTGGTGAATGAATTTCGAGGCCCGTGAGCGCAGGGGTCACCAACCTGCGGCTCTTTCAGGACTGCTTCGTGACCTTATGAAATATTGAGGTTTGTTATGGTTCTTGTCCACACGGCATGGTAGCTCAAGATGTTTTGGAGGTCATTATTAAGTCGCTATGCCCAAAGTCATAAGTTCAGCTCTAACAGCTTACCAAAGGCTTTGCTCGGGAAGGGGAATTACCGAAAAGCACCGTAAAGTTCGATGCAGTCGTTGATGAAAGGATGGGTTGTGTGGCCGGTGGGACCCATATCGCTCGTCCCAAAAGAAAAGCTCAACAATTATTTTAAACGGTTCCCACAAGAAACTATGACCATCACAGAATACCCTGCAAAATATATTTTTTTCACTTAGCTTATTTACCACCCGTTGATTTAACATTGCTGAATGTGAGTTCAAGGTGGGGTGGGTGGGGCACTGGATGTTGGTTCTATAATCTGTCTCGATCGTTTTTTTTTCGCAGTCGAACTTGGAAATGCTGGAGCAGTATAACACCGTGGACATTCGTGCGTTCCACGAATTCGAGGTTCCGCAACCCGTCGGTAAGATTTGGGGCGGGAGAGGGTTGTTTACACTTGTAGACATTTCAGTTGAATTTGCAATTCACTTCACAGGCAGGGCTCTGCAAATATAAAATATATCTCCACCATTTTGGTCCAGCCTGTTTGGTGTAACCTAACTTGCAACGGAATTACGTAATATTGTTTGGTTCTTTCGGTAAAGTCCCGTATCTAGAAAAATAAAATGAATACAAAATAAAAGAAAAAAACACTAATGTACACTCGCCTGGTTCTAAATCGGAGTGAGTGTACTGGCAGTCTATAATGTAGACTGTAGCAATGGTACTGGCAGTATAGACTGACAGTACACTCACCCAGCTTAATAACCATTGCTACAGTCTACTTTACAGACTGCCAGTACACTCACTCCGATTTAGAACCAGGCCACATTAGTGTTTTTTAGTTTTTTATTATTTTTATTTGATGACTTTTCACTTCATTTTTTATTATTTTTCTATCTACGTGACTTTACCGAAATAACCAAAGAATATGAATTCCTGCAGTCACGAAAGTTTTAAGTCAAAATAGCAAGCAACGGAATGTTCACACACACACGTGGTAGTGTACACCTCCAGGCATGACTGGAGGGTGCCTACAACAACCGATTGCCCAATGCTCTTAACCAAGAGTAATGGACATGTTGAGAAATACTTATGAAATGGTGCCTATCCCTTTTCAGTGGTAGCAACACACCGCACCGTGATAGACAATGGCCTATGATGATATTCATTGCATAAATGCACGCGGTGTAAGTACTGCAGTAGAAATAAAATGGTTGTATGACAGGTAATTTCCTGTCGACCGTGTACATGTCAATTAACACCTTTGGCACCCTCGTAAACGAAGATGGTCACATGTCAAGGTATTATCCAGATAAAATATTTTAGTTGATACATTAAAATCGAGATGTATAGCATGAATTGATGGTTTGTATTCAACAACACATGAAATACAGACGATTCGTGCTGCATCAAACCACATTTGCCAATGTTATTTCTAACTTGATGTGGTCTGGAACTGTTGTTGTTTTGCTGCCTTGCGCATTTCCTGTTGAAAAATCGGCAGGATTTGATACACTTTTGCAATTTGTACTTACGTACGTTATTTTTACGCATTAAGTTTTTGTGACTTGCTTACCTTTCCTATACCTTGGAATCCTATGGGTTTTTTTTATATTGCCGTTGTAATTTTCTGACCCACTCCAACTTAACATCTGTGAAAAAAGAGCTTAATATCTCATCGCATTCCTGCAGGAAATAAAGATTCCGAAATGCTTTGGTTGAGGGAAATGGACTGTATATGTATTCAAAACAAAATGTGCCTCATTGTGCATTTCAGTAATTGGACCTTACCTGCAAATAACAGAGGAGCCTAAACAGGTGGGTTGGTGCGCTTCTGGAAAGCCCCTAAACGCGAGAAGCCGCCACGTGGTCCCAACCCGCAGTAACCCAACCCCCACACCACGGCAGCAGTCCAACGGAAAGTCCCGGGATTTCAGCAGTCGTTTTATCACGCTCTGTGTTGTGTGTGTGTATATAGAGAGAAGAAGATGTTCTGACCACTTTTGTTGACTTAAGTCTCTTCTCTTGGGGTCATGGTTTTCAGCGCAATCAGATGTTTGGTTAACGTCTGCATAGTGAGCCATATTAAAGTTTTTTTTGGGGTGTTTGATCGCGTGAATATAAATGCGCCGTTAAATTGATCTCCGGAGTAAATGCATCAGCGGTTAATATTGCATTAATAACGGAGATAAACAGTTGAATATAATGTGTGATATCACAAGAAGTAATTCATGTTGCTGTGGTGTCTAATAAGATAAGAATTGCCATGCCTGTATCCACTCCTTATTGACGCACACTCGCATTCCCAAGCAAGCTCATGCAGTACACAGTATACGCAAACAACGACACTGATTCATCATTGGGTTTTTGGATAGAGGCCGTGCAAGAATTCGTCCATAAACCCTCATCCACCGGTCATATTTATTACTGCTTCAGCACACAGATGTGTTGGAGAGTAAACTCACAGCATGCAAATCGGTACGACGTTTCACTGTCATCAGGCTAACAGCTCAGATCTCAGAATTTACCAACCCTTCTGTCAATCCACTGCTGGATGATTGCCTTCCCTGCTCTATTAATCTTGGGGGTTGTTGGACCAAAATTATCCGCGCTGGTTGGTGATGGTTTGCAGAGAGAGATTGTGGCAGGACCAGCTCAGATATCACTCGCCACTGATATCAGCCTTGATCGGGAACCCAACTCAGTTTGCCGAGTTCGTAGTGTAGTGTGCTAGTCACTGTTTGAGATAGGTAGAGGTGCAGCCCTGAAATGTCTTGCTCACAACACAGCCGGCAGAAGGGCCTCCAGAAGATGGAGCTCTATTGAGAGAGAGAGAGCCCCCCTCTGTGTAACATAATAAAATAAGATTCACGTGCAATTTTTTAAATAAACCACACTTTGGGAACCTGATTTGCCAGTAAAAATATGATAATTGGTTCTTTACCCTTCTATCTGGCAACAAAACTGACATCTTTTTACAAGGAGTCATGTTTGCATAGACCGCAATACCTGCAGTCATAATACAAACAAAAGAACATAACTCTGATAATGTGCACTGTCCTTGAAGTTGATTGGTCCACACCCGAGACAGCTTTCCTTAGAGCCTAGTCTCATATGGGTTGGACCAGATGACGCCAAAAGGCGCACCACACTTATCATTCCAGGACACGGCACCACTAAATTTTGACTTGTCAACGCCCGGTCGATGTGACGGTAATGCGAACGTTGCACGCGTATCTCGTTGCAGAGAGGTTTCCGCTTTCGCTACCCCTGTGAAGGCCCGTCGCACGGAGGGCTGCCCGGTTGCTCGAGCGAGCGCAACAAGAAGACCTTCCCCACCGTCAGGGTACGAAACGCAAAAAGGGGGCCTCGGTGGGGAGGGCTATTGCGGTTGTATATACGGAGGAACCCACGCTATACGGGTTTGCTAACCATACTTATTCTGGTCAACAGATGAATGACAACATCGTGGCTACAACCGAAAATGATTTTTGTTAATGTAGATTTTTTTTTTATCGAACGGTTCCCCAATTTCATTCTGACTGTTATCCGGGTGGGGTGGCGAGGTGGGGGCAATGCCGTGGGATGGAGTATCTATTTGGATGATCGCGCTGAGCAGTCTGTTTTTTTTTACGTCTGCTTTGTGATAAATCGTCGGCAGTGGAGTTGGCCAGCGAAACATCTTGAAGCAGGAGTCTCTTGAGTCTCGAGACTCAGTGCTTTTCTGAATTAGTAATAATATCATAAAATATAGTGGTGCAAATCGTGTTGCATAAAATGTGTTACAGATGAATTTGCTGTACGTATGTATGTACTGTATAGCATATGTGCAGGTGTAATGTGTGTTAACAGGTATAAGGAAATTGTACATCAACATATTGAGCCAGGACTGATTGGCTGTCCTTCAAACATTGTAGGCCTTGGGGATTTTGGTAATGCCAGCTGTCTATTTACATTCACTCATACCAGAAGGCATACGTGTGTGCTACATTAAAATTAACCCGATGAATCATTGGGAATACAGCAACTATATTGTCTCCATAAGCCACACGGGCCGTGTCCACGTAATTTTCTGCAATAATCTTAGCGTATTTTTAAGATTGGCACTTGCGAAATATCATATGGATGAGAAGAAATGAACAAATAACTCTTATTGTCTAACGGGTTTGCGCGAGACGCATATGGGGAACCTTTTCGCAAGCCATTTCACCAGAGCTCAACATGTATACGAGAGATTATGTGAAGAGATTTATCTCTTTGGGAAACAATTTTGGAGCGTCGAACATTGCTGTGCTCGTGAAACGGTCGAGAGTCTTGACCCTGTATTGTATATCAGTGCCTCCCCAGCCTGTAGTCCGCACAACCACCGGCGCTCCAAAAGGCCCGTGGGATATGGTCCGAGGAACTGTTGGCACTATTGCAGATAAATACGCTTTCGGGTAGATGTTAATTTTTGATAAATATTTTAGTGGAGCATGGCAGAGGTCGCAAACGGGTTTTGATTCCTTACCCGTACCCGGCCGCACCAGGGTCGCAAACGGGTACCCGTACCCGTACCCGGCCGGGTAGCCGGGTATCGGGTAGGGTACGGGTACCCGATTGCGACCTCTGGGATGAAGCCATGTTGCAGGCACGGGTGGGTTGATTCTAGGAACTTGAATTATGAGAAGAGACAAGACGTTGGGAAATGAGTGACAAACGGTTACTCACCAGTGACTCACGGCCTACCCGTACCCGTACCCGGCCACACCAGGGTCGCAAACGGGTACTCGTACCCGTACCTGGCCGGGTAGCCGGGTATCGGGTAGGGTATGGGTATCGGGTACCCGATTGCGACCTCTGGAGCATGGTGGCCTGCAAAAAATGTTTTGAGGGTTGACGGTGGTCTGCGTATCGAGAATTGTTGGGAGCCACCGCTGTAAGTGATCAGAATCGTGCATCAATCATCTTGCCTAACGCATGCACCCATTGAACAGACATTGAGGAGGATGGTCAAGGGTCTATCGTCATCGTAAGCATTCTGGCGGTTTCGAACAGCCTTTTAATTGATTACCTGTTTGACCTTATGGTTGTGAAATGTTACTGGAAGTTTGTTGCTAACACAGAGTACAGTGCTATATAAACAAATTATGGGCTAGAATGTTTCCCAGAATATTATGAACACCTTACTTTTGTTATCAATCGACAGGTCACGTGTGGTGGGGTAAAGTGTTGTCTGGCCTGCTCGGATGAGTAGGAAAAAATTACCCTCTTCTTGATAGGGTCTCTCGGGCTCCGATTAGCACGGTTGGCTACGTATGGTGCAAAAGAAGTTCAACATACAGACATAGTATGGCCTTTCTGCCAACAGTGGTGTGAACAAGTAATTGCAAATTTTGATTTAAAGCTTTCGTGACTGCAGGGATTCATATTCTTGGTTCTTTCGGTAAAGTCACGTAGAAGGGAAATAATAAAATAATAAAAATATAACACAAATATTCTCACGACGTTTCGACTGCAACACAAGCAATCATCATCAGGTGTGAAATCCACAGCAAGAAAATGTAATAAGTAATTGCAAATTTGCACCATTACCATTGAAGAGGAGACTTGAGATGGTTAAGCAGGATCTTTATTTCTAAGGCAACTCACACCGTACTTCCACTAATCATCGGAAACCAACCCCGAACCCTCAAAATCCTCTCCCTCATATAGCCCATCTCCCCTACTTTTTTAACACGCATTCCCTTCTCGGGTTTTCCGCCCTTGTTAACCTTCCCAGGGTTTTCTCCCCCTTGCCAATCCTTCTCGGGTTTTCCCCACTCTTATTAATCCTTCTGGGGCCTATCCGATCAGTGTCCTTCACTCAATAATCGCATTGCGTGTCATACACGGCAGCGCTCCCGTGGCCCTTAACCCGTGGTTATGTGGTGTTTGTGTGTGAGGATGTCCCGAACATCCTCTACACCATTATGTAATTTTGTGTTTCATTGGCCTGCCTTAGAGATAATGCCTATAAAAAAACTTTGTTATTGCATTTGTGTCTCTGAATGTGTCATTATCACACAGGCGCACCCGGCTAGTCTTAATTTCACATCCTGAAAATCACAGTTTTTGAAAGAGAAAAAACGTGTTCACCGACCAAGTGGCTCAAACTACTAAACTATTAATACGATTTTTATTTTTACAGGTAAGGCCCCACTGAGCTATGTAGCTCTTTTTCAGAAGTGACTTGGCCACAAATGATAGCTCAATGAAGTGCTTATCACGTGGACGTTTATAGCTATAAATGTATGTTGATTCTAATTGTCGAGGGAAGAACCGGAGGACCTGGAGAAAAATTCATGGGACCACTTGGAGAGAGAGACACACGCAAATTCCAAATATACAGGTTGGGATCTAATCCATGACCTCCCTGTATACCAGACGAGGCAGTTAATTTTTTACTTAAAACTTTCGTGACTGCAGGAATTCATATTCTTTGGTTTTTTCGGTAAAGTCACGTAGATAGTAAAATAATCTAAAAAATAAAGTTAATATCTCACCACCGCCGTGGCCAAAGCTAGAGTGAGCGGCTCACAACTGTAAGCTTGTGAGTTCAAATCCTGGTTGGAGGCTGACTCCACCCATCATCTTGATTTGAAGCTTTCGTGACTGCAGGATTCCATACTCTTTGGTTTTTTCGGTAAAGTCCACCCATCATCCTTTGGGGGTTAATAAAATGGAAACCACTTTGTAGGTGAAGTCAACAGTGTTTGTCCTCTGGAGGGGACTTGCCCCCCCGTTTTGGGTTGCAGAGAGGAGCTGAGCACCATCTCAATGGTCATAAAAAAAAAACTGACCTTTTTATAACAAACTATTTTCTTTGTTTTAGATCTGCAAATACCTTGGCCTAGCGAAGGTGGTGGTGCAGCTGGTCACCGAGAATGAACCATACCGCCTGCACCCCCACAGCCTGGTGGGCAAGAATGCTGAGAACGGTGCCGTCAGCTGCACCGTGGGCCCGCACGACATGACGGCGATGTGAGTTTAACCTCCCGGCGATTAACGTGGTTGGGCCTACGTACGTATGGTAGCCAACATACGTGAGTGCGTATGTGATGCGACAGAGTTTCTGGGAGGCTCAACTGGGGATTGCACGAGGAGCTGCTGGGTCGGTACGAGTATAAAATTGGAATCTCTGGAGCTTCTTGATTCGGACACCGACGCCATCGCTCCAATGATGTTATTTTGTAATGTTTAGTTTTATGTCGCGTCGTTCGTGCAAATTGCATCTCACAATTGCTGAGGAACCACGAGCAAGCGGAAAGACAGCCAAGTGGGTAAGCCGGCACCGAAAATTGCCCAAGCTCTGCGATTATATATTAAGATGTTTACAGCCATTCCATGAGTGATAACGCAACCTTAGACTGGCACCTCTACACTCAGCCATCCCTCATGGTACTAATTTGAGGCTGAGTCGACCTAGGGGAGGCCCAGGACCAGTTTAGATAATCGTCACCGGTGTTGGCCTGTGAGCGGGAACCGAACTCGGGCCGCCGGGTTTCTAGCGCAGTGCGCTAACTGCTACACTTCCGCTGTAAACTTACACACATGCAAATCGCTGCCTCCTTTCTAAGTCGCGCCATTGTTTTGTTTTGGCCCTTGCCACTTGCACCACGCTCCCGGGATAGGTTCCCCAGCCTCGGTGTGCTGCACGTCACCAAGAAGAGCGTGGCATCTGTACTGGAGAAGTTGTGGTCGGATGCGCAGATCTCCGGGCTGGCCAACATTGGCAACATCGTTCTTGAGAGCGGCTTCCACAACGTCCACGCGCGGGACCTGACGGGTAACGTGCCACAAAGCCACAAAGCCACAGCCACCGTGCGCTTTAAATTTCGATTTAAAGCTTTCGTGACTGCAGGGATTCATCTTCTTGGTTCTTTCGGTAAAGTCGCGTAGAATGGAAATAATAAAATAATAAGATTTTTTACATAATAAAATCATTCTCACGACGTCTGCGCTTCTCGACAGACCTGTTCTTCACCTGAGGACGGCTGCTTGCGTTGTGGGTGAAACCTCGTGAGAATTATTTTATTATGTTTTATTTTTATTATTTACATTCTACGTGACTTTACCGAAAGAACCAAGAAGATGAAACCGTGCGCTTTGTTACTGCCGTTTGCCGTGTTTCGTTTTTACTGTGAGCAACGGCACACGAGAGTGGCCGTCTTGCATAGCTCTGTGTTGATAGCCACGGTGGCGACATGTTAACTACCTCGCCTGGTATGCAGGAAGTCGTGGGTTCGATCCCGATCCTGACGCCTGTATATTTCGAGTTTGCATGTTCCCCCCGTGGTTGCGTGGATTTTTCTCCAGGTCCTACGCTTTTTGAAGCATGCGTTTATACACTAAAAGTTTAGAGTAATTGACTGCTTTAATTTTCCATGAGATAAGCCACTTCGTTCAGCTATCATTTGCGGCCGGGTAGCTTCTGAAAAAGAGCTATATAGCTCAGTGGGCCTTACCTGATAAAAACATAGTTGAGTTTTAGTTTAGTTTTCTGGTTGTTTCGTGTGTGCTTTGAGCATGCTCTCTCGCGTCCGTACAACGCCGAAATTGCACCGGAAAGCTACATTGCACGACCGCGAGAAAAAACTACGGAAACTCTCCCCGACCACGCCGACAATGCAGCTGCTGTAACGGCCTCGACCGTGTGACGCGTTTTCCGCTCGACAGACACGGAGGCGCGGCAGATCAAGAACGACGCGCAGCAGGGTGCCAAGACCATCGACTTGAGCGTGGCGCGCCTCATGTTCACCGCCTACCTGCCCGACAGCAACGGCGTCTTCACCCACCGCCTTGCCCCCGTCTTCTCCAACCCCATCTACGACAGCAGTAAGTCGTCGACACCTGGCTTGTCACCACGTTTCCTTCACGCGCGTCCCGATCCCGTTTCGCCGCCGCTGCCGCTCCGTGTGGAGACTGACGTTGCTATGGTTCGAATCGCCGACTCCCGAGCCGCGCTCATGAATGGGACGTTCGTTCGTCACCGCGGAGTCGGCGAAGGACCGTTGCGCCAAACGTGTGAACTCTTGCGACGGCGTTCGCATCAACTGCTCTTGCCACCGCCGTACACCGCCGTCGCTATTGATCTGTTTGATCCATGGATCACGTGGGGGGGGGGGGGTAGTGACCACAGGGGTGGCAGGCGCCACCATTTTTTTGAACGTCGACCGCCAACTGACGTGCGCAATTTGCTGGAGTTTGCATAAATGAGATGACATTCCCAATCCCATTTCATCCCCCACTGGCTCCAAATCCAATCCAAGCCTACATTTTTCAGAGAAAGCACTCACTTTCTTCAAGATCCTTGATGGACTTGTAACAGCCTAACCCTCTTCTCCCATCTCATAACACTCAACTACATGCACTCAACTACCTATCGCTTCTCGTCTCCAGGGTGTCACGTCACCCCCAACGTAACTTACCCCTAACGTTGACGCTTAGATTTTTACAAAGTTCACGACAATCTTAAACAAACTGGCTGATTGCCCTGGTATCGGTATTCACCGTTGCTCTTTCACCACTGCGATGCCGAGTCAATTATGCTAAATGTCAAGATTCCGTAATTTCTTATGAAAAGTAATTAGCAGCAAACTTTAGCTGTCAATGATTTGAGCGCCATGCTAATAATCCTGTCTGGGCCGCCATTTTCTTCTTCCACCCTGCGCCCTGTTGACCTTTTCACAGAGGCTCCCAATGCCAACAACCTGAAGATCGTGCGCATGGACAAAACGTCGGGCTGCGTGACGGGAGGCGACGAGGTGTACCTGCTCTGTGACAAGGTGCAAAAAGGTGAGGAGCTTTTCGATTTAAAGCTTTCGTGACTGCAGGGATTCATATTCTTAGGTTTTTTCGGTAAAGTCACGTAGGTAAATACAGCTATCGTGCTGTGACGGTTCCACCTGAAGACGGAAGCTTGTGTTGCCTCCGAAACGTCGTGATTTTTTTTTTCATTTTAATTTTACTTTTATTAATTTAAATTTTTTACCTACGTGACTTTACCGAAAAAACCTAAGAATATGAATCCTTGCAGTCACGAAAGCTTCAAATGCAGAGATTCATCTTCTTGGTTCTTTCAGTAAAGTCACGTAGAAGGGAAATAATAAAAAATAAAACGTAATAAAATACAATTCTCACGACGTTTCGGCCACAAAACGTCGTGAGAATTGAGGACGGCTGCTTGCGTTGTGGCCGAAACGTCGTGAGAATTGTATTTTATTATGTTTTATTTTTATTATTTCCCTTCTACGTGACTTTACCGAAAGAATCAAGAAGAAGGTGGGGAGCCACACGCGCAGTGTGCCGATCCAAACGGACGCTGCGAAACCTCTTCAGTTTGTTAGTCCCCATCCCCGCAACGTACGATTAGCACGGTTGGCTATGTACGTTGCAAAAGAAGTTCAGCGTACATACAACATTCTTCACTGTGTTGTGCCCGCTCTCTGCGGCTGTCTCCAACGCTCTTCCTTCCGATATTAGGAAACCACCGGAGCTGTGCACTTTCAAATATAGATTAGAAACTGATTTCCTTAAATAGCTTGTTGCGTTTAGTTTGTCCTTCCCCCGCAACCTCCGATTAGCCACGGTTGGCTACGTATGGTGTGAATGAATTTATACATATGTAATAACAGCCATAGAGGGTTCACGTGGGGATTGGCTTGCCGGTCCTGCTTTGTAGCCAATAAGGGTTGAGATAGGGAGCGTGGGCCCGGCGTGATCACGGCATGTCATCAGGAGTGATTGGCCTAGCCATTCGGGGCCCCAGCTAATGGGGATCCGGATGAGAGGCGTGGTCCCGGGAGTGACAGGGAACCATCGAGAATGGTCGAGGCTGTCCATGGAGGATTGGCTGGGGGGACCACGTGACGAAGGGATTAAGAGAGAGTGAGAGAGAACGATCGAGAGCAGACTGGAAAACGAACAGGGCGAGAGCCACGCACGTACGGGGGCTCTGGGTGCCACGTGCGCGGTGGGAAACTGGTGTGAAGTCTGCCCGCTCTCTGTTGTCTGCCAACAACGGAGCGTGAGTGAATAAAGTGTATCGTAGAGGTGAAAATAAAGAGGACCGATTCCGAAGCCGTCTCCGAAGGATTATTACACATAGTACATTCATGTATTATGATCAGCTCGTGAACGCTTGCCAAAATATATCTTACGTCATCTTCTCTCTCGCTGCATTCCCTCCCCTATTTATGTTTTGGAGATAACTCTGTTCATTAGTTTATTATGACATGACGCTCTAATGATTGTCACGACTTTCACCATCCCCCGTCATCCCCTCCCCTAATCTTCCTCTCTACTTTTGTTTAATTCAATAAAATGTAACAAAAATAGACAAACATCACAATTCAAAACCCTACTATAGCCTTAGGAGAAATTTTAAAACAGGCAATTACTGGATTCTCAAGTACATGTTTACTTCCAGCAACCATTTATCAATCCCCTGCTGGATGCGGGACTCATGGTGCGATCGAAGTTCAATGTACAGGCAGTCCTCGACTTATGAACACCTTTACAAACGCCTGCACTTACGAACACCCGACTGAGGAACACCTGCACTTACGAACCCGCTTCCATAAATACTTTTTTCACATGCACGCACCTGCCCCCCTCCATCCGTGGCTCCACGTTCCCGCTGTGACTTTAACCAAGCTTCCCGATGTGCGTGTCGTCTTGCCGATCGATGATCGGAGTGCGTCAGCGGGCGCTGTTGTGCGCTGTGGAAACTGTGTGTGTGTGTGTGCGTGTTGTGTTTACTCATCGATTGGTTGTTGTCTGCCCTATTGTTCCCAGAGGACATCCAGGTGCGATTTTTTCACGACGATTGGGAAGCTTGGGGAAATTTCGGACCGACGGATGTTCACAAACAGGTGACTAAAAAAAAGCTGACAAATGCCGTGGGAAAAGAAAAGTTTCCTTAGCTTAACACATTACCAAACCTAAACCGTGTTTCCTCTTTTATCTTGAGAAACTTGAATCGTGCTCTTCATTGTCGCCTGCTTTGCATTTGGGCCTTTGACAGTGGTGCACAAGTGCAAATGACAACTCAATACTTTTGTAAAAACAAAACGCTATTCTAAAGAGGAAAATGTATAATAGGCAAGGTTTTTGGGTAATAACCGTTCATAGCCGAGAAGTTCCATTTCTGAAAACGTCGCCTGTGATACATTTCTCCTCTTTAAGGGAGTGTTTTTATTTATTTAACGTTTCGTACTGCGGCTGTGGCGAAGTCCAAACGATTAAACACGTCACCGACGAATGTTCCATCCATGCAACATTGTGGCGGTGTTGCTGCGATCCACGCAGCGTCTACTGCTGCCGCCTTAGATTGGTTGAACAAATTTTGCATTCAACTATAACACGTTGTAGTGTTAACGGTCGTTTTCCATCCTGCCATACGTACGAAGAAGAATTGACGAATGTAAAGACCTATATTCGCTTAGTCTAAACCGTTAACGAATCACAGACAATAGCAGGCATCGAGGGGCTTGGATTCGACGACGATTCGAACGACCTCCTCTCTCCCCGCACAGTACGCCATCGTGTTCAAGACGCCGCGTTACTGCAACGTGGACATCAGCAAGTCGGTCACCGTGTTCGTGCAGCTGAGGAGGAAGTCGGACAGTGAGACGAGCGAGGCGAAGCCGTTCATCTACTACCCGCAGAAACAAGGCACGTCCTCGCGATTGTCGCATGGCCAGTCGTCGCTCAGCCGTGCTCGGTGCGGTTCGCTCTTAGGCGTGTTGGCTCTTCGCTTGTTTATCAGGTGAATTTACAGCTTGAGAAATGATTATTCCCGTTTGGCCGCAATGGATTGTGGGTTGGGACAGTGCTGCCCCCCTACTGTGTGGAACAGAGGTCACTCAGAAACGCATCTCTGAGGTAGCTGTGATATCTACTTCCATGGGCTATTCCCTAATATGAAAGGTTGGGAGATTTCCACCTGGATTACTTCATGGTATGGCGTGACACCGATCGCGTTTGTACACGCGCAACGCTTTTGCCAGTTCACTGCTGGAAGAAACCTCTCCACGTCATGTCGGTCTCGGGCAGCGTTGACCGCACTTCACGCCGTTCAATGGATTTTGCTCGCACGATCTGGATGAAATTTTTGGGGGTGGGGGGGCGAGAAGAGAATCGTTTTTTATTTTTTATTTCTAAAACGTCCTCTGTTCCTTCTTCCATTACAGACAAGGAGGAGGTGGCCCGCAAGCGGCAGAAGACGCTGCCGCACTTCTCGGACCACTTGGGCGGCGGCGGCATGGGTGGCGGCATGGGTGGTGGCATGGGCGGTGGCATGGGCGGTGGCATGGGCTCCACCTCCATGGCTCCTGGCACTAGCGGGGGCGCCACCGAGTTTTTCGGTGGCCCGAGCATGGAGGGCCCGACGGGAGGCTCCTACAGCACGTTGGGCGGCGGCGGTGGCGGCAGTATGTGGAGCCACGGCAGCCACTCCGGTACGCTCGTCGCGGTGCGGGGATTTGTGATGCGCTGTGTGGGGAGATCGATCCTGACCGTTGGTCATCGTCTCCATCAATGTTATTGCCAATGCCATTGCTACATTCGTCGTCGTCATCGTTATGATTCACAGTTTGTACATAACGTACGACTGACCACACACTTTTATATTAATCACCACTACTTAGCAAAGGCCCAAAGGCCAAAGATGGTAAACGGCCAGCAACAAACAGCATTATACTATTGAAGGTTAACTGTTGTCACCATCATAAGCCACTGTCAATCCACTGCTGGATAAAGGCTTCCCAAAGTGTTGCCTTATCCCACCTACCATTCACAACAACTTTTAGGTCCCCTATGAATGTGTTCAACATGATTCGCGCCTCCGATTAGCACGGTTGGCTACGTACGGTGTGAAAGAAGTTCAACATACTTACATACGAGCCTCCGTGATGCCGAAATGACTGTGCGCTGTGTGGTGTGTGCTGGTCGTGCAGACTTTAGCGGTGGATTCAACTTTCAAACAAACGCCATGAACATGAACTTCTCTGAGCTCACTCTGCCAGGTCTGGCACCTCCTCATCAGCAAGGTGTGTGGTGCCCAAAGACACTCAACTGTGATCGAGATCTCCCTTGCAGAAGCCCTCCTCGAGTTTTTCACCTGACTATCTCATGCTGCACGACTGTTATCTAGAACGTTGGAGGGAAGGTTTAATGGATCACGTGAATCTGTCAATCCCCCCCATACCTGTTGGAGTTTGTGGTACAGCAAAGTGGATGTGACAGTTTCCTACCACACTCGTTAGACAGCAGTTGACCGAACATGCCAGCGCACGACCATCTTATCAAATAATCTTGACACTTCACGAGCCTTAATCTGGGTACAAACGCCATCGTCATTGTCAATCTGGATGCTGCTGGACTATCAGTTCAGAGGTCGTCGGTTCAATGCTCGAGCGTGGCAATTGAAACTATGGGTAAGTTTCTTAAATACCCCCCGCCACCACCTACTCGGCAGTGTCAGTGGTGTACACCACAGTTAGTCATTGGGCAGTTGGTGAGACTGTAAAGTTCGGGTACTTCCACCTCTCTCAGACATCTGACCAGCATGGAAGAGTAGGCGAAAAAATACCCTCTAGAGGGGATGTCTGGAGCTTCCCCGAGTAAAGTCCCTTCCACCAGCGTTTCTGTGAGCAACAACGTGCAGGACAGCACCTTTATTTCTGTTGTTTATTTAACACATAGGCTTTCACGACTAATATTCATAATGAAGGGTTTTTTTGGGTTAGATATATGGATGTATGTTGAATTTATTTGGCACCGTTCGTAGCCAGCCATGCCTATGGGAGGTGTATAAATATAAGTGTGTCGTTAATCCACCACCACTCGACACAGCCAATCAGTAAGGTTTGTCACGTGAACAAAACGTGCCAATTAGCAATTACTTCAACACACTTGTGTGATGGCGAGTAAGCTCAAAACATTTATAATTGAGTATGACGTTTCGCTGGCGATTACTGTTTATGGTTTGCGAATGGCGAGGTATTTCATCACCTAAGGAAATAAGCTGGAGTTAATGCGCCCATAAAAATAACAAGCATTTAAAATGAACATAATTTCACATACATTGCTCAGCGGTAGAGCGAGCGGCCCGCAATCGTAAGGTTGTGAGATCAAATCCTGTTTGGGGGTTGAACTCATCCCTCTGCGGGTCGGTGACACGAGCATCGCTTTGTGGGGACGTCAACTGTGGTCATCCTATGGAGAGACTCGCACCCGTCATAGTAATGTGGAATCTCCACCGCCATAAACAGGAACTAAGCGCCCGCCTCATTGCTCATTCGCGCAGGATAGTCGCTACGAGTGACGATGTTCTTCAGTGCAGAATCGTTTGCCATTCTACATTAGGCAACTCCAAAAGGACGGGTCGGAGTGGTTAGCTGGTCGCCCTGTAGACGGCACATTGCGTCGTGACTCGTTCCCCTGTCGGTGCGTTATTTGACATTAACTCGCGCACTTGTGGGAATGGTTATTATACTTGTTCAAGGTTGGCTTTTGTTTCTCAGATTAACGCTGTCGGCTACCGCGATGATCCAACGGAGGGGCTATGGCTTGAGTTGATGCAGTAATACGTCACAATGACTAAAAGTTAGTCACGTCCCATGCTGTGTTTATCACAGTTAAACAAAAATTTTGGAAAGTACCTAAGAGATTCGGCAAGCACCGGGCACAGTGCGTACAATACATTAAAGGTCACATTCTCTTTTAGTCTGATGCTGTGTGCATTCTTCAACTCTTACTGAGTTACCCGTGGGTACAAGGTGGTAGATCCCCCCCCAGTCGTCTGGTATTAAAGCTGCTGCGGTTGTTCCTGGTCTAGTCACAGTTGCTCTTGTGAGCGGAGACTGAGGATCACAGAGCAAGTGTTTGAGTCGAACTTTTCAACTTACCCTGTCTTTTTCAAATCTCTCTTGGCATCTAGATATTGCTGGTATCAACTACGCTTACCAGGGTGAGTATTCATTTTATCTATACATTGTGTTTTGTTCATCATCATCATTCACCATCATCATCATCACCATTAGCCGTGTTCATTGCACTTCTTACCATTATGCTGCAGTGTTATAATTATTTAGATTTTAATCTAAGTCCATTTATTACTTTTTGGTAATGGTTTCAGTGATATATACATGTTCTCTAATCTATGCATCTAAATTTAATTTAAAGAATGAATATGTTTTGTTCGAGATGTTTTATGTAAATTATTATTAAAATTATAATATTATAAATGTGTTAAAAATATACACACTCTTTAGTTTTTTACTTGAAAGAACACTACTGATTAATTGTAATTTTGTCATTCATGTTCTTTGAACTGTACATTTTTTCTACTTTTATATTAAAATGTTGTAACGTAAAGGGAAAACGTGTGGTTAGAAGGAGTACATTTCCTGTATGGGTCCCGGGAAACATGAAACTGTAAAATGTCTCCACGTAACAACATAGCGCTTCAACACAGCATGGCGATTATTAGTTCATTACTGCCTACTACACTGCTGTCTTGAAATTAGATAAATATTATAACTGCGTTTTATATTCTCCCCCCTTTTTTTATCAGGTCTTGAATTTGACGGTAAGCGTTGTCCATTCCTTTATTCTTATTCTCACACACTCGGCTGTTTTGATCATCCATACACTTAAACATGCATTTTAAAAACGACTTTAAATGCTATTTATCTGGAAGTTATTTGAATACAATACATTTTGGATGTATGTTGAACTTATTTAGCACCGTACGTAGCCAAGCGTGCTAAGCGGAGGCGTAGGATGTATATATAGATCGTGTTACATCAAACAATATCTCGTTACACGACAACTCAATAATATTTTGTGGCACTAGCATTTTAAAGCGGTAAAAACTCACGTGCGCACACTCACGGGTTTTGATCACGAATGTAATTACAATTTAACGTGCAAGGAAAAAGGCGTGCGGCTAACCACGGCTTTTTGTTGTTGTTGCTGCTTCGGTGCTGTTGTCTGCAGGCTCCGGTGGCGTTCAAGGTTCAGACGGTGAGTGTGTGCGTGCTCCTGGCAACTCGTGTCAGAAACGACACTTCTCTTGTTTGAATACGCGGGGAGGGGGGGGTGTCAGACGTAGCCTGGTGGACGAGCGACCCCCAGTGTCTGCAGACAGAAACGCACGCCTGGATGTCGCGTAGATCATGCGCACGGCATCACGATGATAAGCGTCAGTTGCACGATGCACACGATCTTAATTCTGCACTTGCTTTGAAAGCTACAACCTTTTTGTGCCGTTTATATAATGCAATTCTGCTTTTAGTTTGAGTATATTAGCAATGCGGTTGTATACATTCACAGAGTATTTTTGGCGGTAATATTGAGGTTACTTAAAATAAAATAAGTTTATTTAGGCAACCTCTGTCACAGATCTTCTTGTATACAACTAAACCTATTAATAATTTTACATGTGTATAATCTGCTGCATAGTTGATATTCTATACTATGCATTCAATTATTAATAAACGATAGAATGTTATCATGCCACCTTCTACAGAAACGGTGTCAGTGTAGTTTTGATTCATGTAAAGTATTTCCTGTGTGTTCCACTATTAGCAGTAATAGGCCTATCGATCCCATGCAAAACAAATGCTCGTAGTTATTTCGACACAAAAACTCTTTATGTAACGATATTTGTTAGACAACCCATCAGCTGCCCTGCCTTCTGGCAGTGCATAATTTCAGCAACATTGTTTTAAGACAAACTGTTGACCAGTTTCAACATTCAGTGTCTTACCAGCAGTCAGGCTTGCTTTAAACTAAATAATTTGCGTCGTTGTGGCGAATATACAGTAGACTCGATTATCCGCGCTAATGACGGGGAGGACAGCCGTGGATAATACAAATTGCGGATAATTCAAAAATATACATTTTCCGCATATCTCTGTGCCAAAAAACGAAGTTAAGGTTAAAACCACACGCTTCCATTTCTCTGCCATCGCACAGTTTCGTAAATTAAAACTCACAATAAATGATCGGATAAATAATTAAAAATGAAGCACAACTGATGATTTTGAGTGTTACTCTTTCGATTTAGAACGAATACTAACAATCAACCGATCGATGCGCATGCTCAGTGATAACACTTTCCTGCTCCCGCGCAGAAGACTCAGCTCACTCAGTGGATAGCAGAGCCACGCCAATCAAAATCAAACTCCGCCCCCCGTTGTAAAGATATGCAACTACTGTACTGTAGAGGTCGATCACATGGATTTTGTTCGGTTTAAGCACGTGACTTGTTCTACACATTTCCAAGAATAACAATGTATAAATGTTTATAGATGATTAATGTGGGCTTGAAGGTTATTAATTCATGTCAAAATATCAGGTGCGCGGTTAATCCGCAAATCGGATAAACCGCACGCAGATAATTGAGAGTCTACTGTATATAAAACAAAAGCTTTACTCGCCTTGAAGCAAGCACATGGCGCTCTATGTGAACATGGGTACAGGGGAAGGAGACAAATGTGGCTTGCGCATAGCAGCGCGCTCACTTCGTGTGCCGAGATCTGCAAGGCTAAACGTGAGACATTCTCTTTTTCTGTCTGCGGTCGTGTTCGCATTAGGGATGGAAGCTTTCGAGATTATCAAGCGCCCGGACGAGGAGGACAGCGACAGTGACAGCGACGACGACCACCTGGAAACGGACGCGGCGATGGAGGAGATGCGGCCGACCGTGCACGCCTTCCCGGTGGCGTCGCCGTTGATCAAGGGACGCGAGCGGCCCGGGTTCGTTCCGCTCAAGCCGGCTCACGTGGGCGGCCAGAGTCCCAAGAAGGTCCCCTTCGTCCGCGAGTCCCCGCAGCCCACGAGGAAGCCTGCAGAAGCTCAGACACCGAAGGTCACCGTGGGGAAGCTGGTCAAGGACTCAGCCGTGCAGACCCCTGGTGCGTCCAGTGTGATTAACATCGTCATCATCAGAATCAGAAAGGGTTTTATTCGCCATGAAAGTTTGCACAAACAAGGAATTTACTATGGCAGGAAGGTGCATACATTCAACATGTAGGAATCTTAAAACTTAAATAATTACCAGCCACGGATCTATCAACTGGCTAGATGGAGGCCTTGCCCACAAGCTGGCACCATCTGTCATTGTCTTGGGGATGTAACAGTCAGTTTCTGCAGAAGAACTGATGTCATCACTCCATTTCCTCTTGGATGTGTTCACTACTTTGGCTGCCACTCTGTCTTGACCACTGGCCATCATCTTCTTGCCATGACCTGCCCTGCCCAAAGTCCACTTTTTCAACAGTCAATATGATACCACTATCCTGCGTATATATGTTCTCTAATTCACCTGTTCATCTTTTTGTCTCTCGGCATATTCCAAGCATGCACCTCTCCATGCATCTTTGTGCACTTTTCAGCTTTTTCTGCACTCATTTTATTTGTAAAATTTTCCATGTTTACGATGTACGTACATGTATCTTGAATCTCTTTAGCACAGTACGTAGCTAACCATACTCATTGGAGGTAACATGCATAGCGCTGTAAGCGAGTGGCTTCACCGTGCTTGGGTGGGTGGGTGTTGTAGTTGGGTGGGAAAGTCATGGTAAGTGAGTGGGTAGGAGGGAGAGTGACGAATGAGTGAGTGAATTAGAGGGTGTAAGGTCGAGTGGGTGGATGTAAAAGCTATTGGTTGAGAGATAGAAGGGGGGTGGATGAGTGAGTGGGTGAGGAGGTGGGTTATTTTATTGTCCTTTCTCCCGCACCTCCGATTAACGCGGGTTGGCTATGTATGGTCACCGAAAGAGAATTTCAACATACATGCGTAATTAACCTAAATTTCGATTTAAAGCTTTCGTGACTGCAGGGATTCATCTTCTTGGTTCCTTCGGTAAAGTCACGTAGAAGGGAAATAATAAAATAATAAAAATAAACCAATAAAATAATTCTCACGACGTTTCGGCCACAACGCAAGCAGCCGTCATCAGGTGAAGAACAGGTCTGTCAGAAAGAGCTGCTTGCGTTGTGGCCGAAACGTGGAGAGAATTATTTTAATATTTTATTTATTATTTTATTATTTCCCTTCTATGTGACTTTACCAAAAGAACCAAGAAGGGGTAATTAACCTAATCAGAGTAATAAAAAAAAATAGTTTGACCTGAAGAACGCCCCGTTGAGCCTATGTGCATGCGTGCGTGTGTGGGTGCCCCGCGCAGGCAGGCATCTCGAAGCGTCCCTGCTGCTTCTAGCCGAGCGCACGGCGAAGGCGCAGAAGGACTTTGCGATAACGGCCGACGTGCGCATGCTGCTCGCCCCGCAGCGCCACCTCACGGGTGTGCAGGACGACAACGGGGATGCGTGAGTTGCCGCTCCTTCCTTTCACGCTGGCTGCCTCGCTCGCTCCTTCTCTGTCTGCTCCTCCCCCGCTCGCCCCCCTCCCCGCTAACCCAGGGGTCGGCAACCAAAACAACAAGAATTTGGTAAAAACAACAACAAATATTTCAAAAGCCGCAATGCAGGTGGTGAATACGGGACAGCGGCCCTTCATTAATAATGTCACGAAGCAGTCCTTAGTGAGCTGCGTCCGGCTCCTGAGCCCCGAGTTACCAACCCCTGTCCATGGTAAACTGGACTTCCATGGTGAACTGGACTTCTATGGTCAGGGGGTCAGCAACCAAAATGACAAGAATTTTAATTTTATTATGTTTTATTTTTATTATTTTATTATTTCCCTTCTACGTGACTTTACCGAAAGAAACAAGAAGATGAATCCCTGCAGTCACGAAAGCTTTAAATCGAAACGAGAGGGAGCTTTTATTATTTTTTTATTTTCAAGAGCCGCACTGCAGTCCTTCAAGTGCCGCATGCTGTTCCAGAGCCACAGGTTGCTGACCCCTTCCCTAGCCACTCCCCCCTCGCCCCTCCCCCTGCGCCCCCCCCCCTCACTCCTGGGGCTGTGCACGTTGATGAACAAGTGAAAATAAATGTTAGCAGGCAATGGCCCAGAGGTCGCAACCGGGTACCCGATACCCGTACCTACTCGATACCTGGCTACCCGTACCCGGCCGGGTACGGGTACGGGTAGGCCGTGAGTCACTGGTGAGTAACCGTTTGTCACTCATTTCGGGTAGGGTACGGGTACGGGTAGAGAACGGATACCCGTACCCGGCCGGGTACGGGTACCCTTTTGCGACCCTGGTGCGGCCGGGTACGGGTACGGGTAAGGAATAAAAACCCGTTTGCGACCTCTGCAATGGCCCTTACCTCAAAGGGAAGTTTCAATTGCCCAAGTGTCCATTGGTTAGCAGATCAAAAGATTATGGTAGAACTTAAATGTTTAAGGATTTGAACGACCGATGAAAGTTATGCAGTCGTTGGTTAAAACAAACACTCTTAGTCTTAAAACAAGTAAATTACTTGCAGAAGTAAAATGTGCTTCTTTATTGCGCGATGGTTGATGAGATACGATAAATGTGGGTGATGACATCAACAGTTCACCACGGTGGCTCAATGTTAACTCCCTTGCCTGGTATGTAGGAGGTTGTGGGTTCGATCCAGACCCTCTCACGCCTGTATATTTTGAGTTTGCATGTTCTCTCTCCCCGTGGTCGCATGGATTTTTCTCCGGGTTCTCTGATTTTTCCCTACATATTAAGAAACACACATTTAGAGCATTTGGCTGCAATAAATTTCCACACGGTCAGCCACTTTGTTGAGCTATCAATTGCGGCCAGGTCGTTTCTGAGAAGGAGCTACAGAGCTCAATGGGCCTTGCCTAGTAAAATTAAAATGTTTTAGTTTTTTTGTTTAATTTGCCCAATATCAATTTGGTTGAATTGACATTTGGGCATCGGTTGGTTATGGGTGGTTTGACTGAGTCGCTGTGCCGTTATGAGGATGATGATGATGACAACAGTGTCGGTGCTGATGTTGCAGACCTCTACACCTGGCTGTGATCCACCAGAGACAACTCGTGGTGCAACAGCTCCTGCAGGTCATTGTGACCATCCCTCACCAGAATATCGTCAACCTGCCCAATGACCTCAAGCAGGTAAATCAACAAGATGTTTACCGATCGACGGATTGCCAATGTCTGAAATCCACCAGGACGTTGCACCTGTATCCCGGCACTCGTGATTACTGCCATGTGCAAACATTTTCACGGAATCGGCCAAATGTCTTTAAGCGTCATCCTCACAAAAATGATTCTCGTTGACCGAGTGGCTTTTGAATCCATTCACTGCAAGCAAGGAAGACATCCCAGAGGACAAAACTCACTAACAAGTGGTAATTTGAGTCCGCTCATTAATTTAGAATTGTAATATTGGTCGGCATCAACTGCTCTGTTGTCGTCTTTGAAGTTGGTGAACTTGCTTTTGATAATCTACACTTTAAGGCCAACCAATTCTTCTCATGGTCATCCCGGATGCAAGGAGACCCCATTAATAACTTTCCGAAAAGCCCATTGCGTAATCACCCCGAAAGCAGGGTTGAGTGTGGACAGTGATTTTATAGACAATCACCATGAATCATGGGTTTTATAGACTACATGTGTAGAGGTGTTACACGGGGGTATCTACATCCACGTCCGCAAACGGTTACCACCCTGGGGGGCTGTGTGGGGGGGAGGCTGGGATCCCACACAGCCCCACCCCTCGAGTGCATGTCGGTATATAAGGCGGAGAGCGAGAGAGCTCGAGGCAGTCGTTGGGTACAGGTCAAGATGAAGAACCAGTGAAGACTGAAGGCCAGCTAGCTAGACCTGGAACTCCCCTGACTCGCTGTCCTTGTGAGGGCCGAGCAGGGCAAGCCAGTGGTGCGACCTCAGAGCAGCGAGGTCCGATGTCCTTGTAAGGGCCGGACTCGTGTGGCTGAGGGTCGGAACCTGCGCCGAAGCTGGGCCAGGTTAGTTAGACTCTTAGGAGGAAGGTCTGGAATAGCGGGGAAGTAGGCAGTTAATGTGGGCATTAACTGGGGAGCACTTCTCCTGATAAAGACCGGGTGAAGAGGCCGTTACCTCTTCAAGTGTTAGGGTCGTTACCCTGTTGTTACTGTATTTATTTGTAATAAATACGTGTTGCCTCCATCAACTTCTCCTGCGTCACATAAGCCCATTACACATGTGAGCAGTGCAGCAAAATCTGTTACACCGCACTTGGTTGCTTCCACATGTATATCCTTCTGCATTCACCAACCCGCACTGACGAGCAATGGTTTAGCGTGTTCAGATAAACCCCCACGACCCGCGCGGCGTGGGGAGGCCCTCATCATCCAGCAGTGGATCGACAACAAAGCTATACACGTGCATATGCTCCTACGGTTATGAATAATACGCGTGGAATAAACACGAAAGTAAAACTCGGCGGTACAAACAGCAAGGACGGTGGCTGACGTGTGTGTGTGTGTGCGCGTGACTACGTGTGCGTGCTGCGGCCGTGCAGACTCCGCTGCACCTCTCCGTGATCACGCGGCAGTCCGAGGTGACCCAAATACTGCTGCGCTCGGGCGCCGACCCCATGGTGCCCGACCGCCACGGGAATCTCGTGGTGCACACGGCCGTGGCCAATAACGACGAGAACACGCTCCGCATCCTCATCGAGTGGAGTGGCGAAGCGGCCGACAGGCTGGTGGACAGCGTCAACTACGAAGGTGGGGGGCCCGCGGCGTACGCCAACGCGACGCTGGTGCTAGGCACTCGCCGCACGCGATACGAACCGCCTCCCCTCCCCCAACAATGTCCCAGCCGGGCCAACTTGCACCGCTTCCCACGCGCTACCACGACGGGGGTGTTAACCGTCAATGCCATTACTATACTCTTAAAATATTTTTTTAATTAAATTATTTTATTTTATTTCTAACTACGTGACTTTACCGAAAGAACCGAAGAGTGTGGATTCCTGCAGTCACGAAAGCTTCAAATCAAGATTAATGCCATTACTATCACTACCACAGTCAACACCACTGCCACCACGACCTCTACCACAATCCCGCACGTCTGATTAGCACGGTTGGCTACGTACACTGAGAAAAAAGTTCACCACTACATACGTACATTAGCTCTGCTACTGCCTCCACCACCACCACTACATACGTACATTAGCTCTGCTACTGCCTCCACCACTACATACGTACATTAGCTCTGCTACTGCCTCCACCACCACCACTACATACGTACATTAGCTCTGCTACTGCCTCCACCACCACCACTACATACGTACATTAGCTCTGCTACTGCCTCCACCACCACCACTACATACGTACATTAGCTCTGCTACTGCCTCCACCACCACATTGCTACCGCTGCCAACACCACCAAACACCTCTACCACCATTGACACTGTCAACATCATTACTGCCACCACCACGATTAATACCGCTGATATAACAACAATATCCTCTTTTATATATTTCATTTCGATTCCAGTGTTAATGGCTTTATCCTCAGGCTCTTTGTGGCTCATATAGACACGTGTGTGTGTACGTGCGCATATCCAGGCTACTACCCCGTGCACGTGGCTGTGATGGCCAACAGTTTGGCGTGCCTCAAGATGCTGGTGAACGCTGGAGCGGATGTCAACCGGCCGGAGCAGACGTATGGACGCACGGCGCTTCACATTGCCGTGGAAGCAGATAACCTGAGTCTTGCCGCTTACCTCGCTGACCAGGTGAGCTGGCGCAACTGCATCCTGCCCGATACCGGCATCGTCGATCTCAATGCTACCACCCTACCACAACGATCGGCCTCGATACCACCACCGGCATCAATACTGTCACACTATCCATGTTGCCATCGGCAACATTGCGATTGAAGTCGTCAGCAGAGGGCAGTGTCGGAATAAACTGTGTTTGCTGCCCACACCAACAAGCACTGACCAGTGTCGCAAAGTGCGGTCAAATAACCCTCACGACCCACACGGCGTTGGGGGCAGGGGGGCCTTGTCTTATCCAGCAGTGGATTGACAAAAGGGGCTCATGTACAAAACTGTTTGTTGCTGGGCCTGTGCTCAGCAACCGTCATTAAAATAAATCAAACAAAGCAGGGAAAAGTCGCCACGACTCACCCGCGCACGCGCGTGCCGCCCCCCCGTGAATGTCTGCGCAGCACCAGACGGAGGTGGATACGGTGACGTACGACGGCAACACGCCGCTGCACTTGGCGACGGGGCGCAGATTGACGGCCATGGTGGCGCTGCTGGTGCAAGCGGGTGCCGACGTGCACGCCGAGAACTTCGAGGCGCCCACGGACGCTAACGGGTTCGACTACGACTCTGATGACGAGGAGGAGGGCGACAGCGAGTGCGCGGAGAGCGACTCGGGCATCGCACGCGGCACCACCCCGCTCCATCTTGCCGCCGGCAACAAGGAGGTAACCGTCGGTCGCGCGTGGGCTGTAGCGGTCTCCGGGCGTGTTCGAGCTTCTGCTGCTGCTGCCGGGCGAAAGTCCCCCGTGCGTTGGGATCGTTGCCACCAGTGGTGATTGACCCGCATGGTTATTGAGTAACGGACACGTGGAAAGAAGATGGCATTGTAGATGAAATTGGGAAGGGGAGGAGGCTTCGATGCGTGGGACCTGTGTTCTGTATGGGAGACACGCGGAGTGGGATGATGTTGATTATGGTGAAAGTATTGTAGATGCAATCAGGAACAAGGGGTTACTGGTGACTGAAACGAGAGGTGGCACCGAGTGATCGCTAAAGTCATGGTGGTGATGAAACCATAAGTCGAACGTTGAAGGTTGAATAGCCTTGTAACAAAGCGAAGAGTTTAAAAGGCCAGTTGGTACGATGCGGACTTTGAATGTCAGCGTTGCCACAGCTGTGGGATCTAGCAGAAGGAAGGGATCGTACGGTGTGGCGGTGTCATCGGAAGTATTTATAATGATCTTTTTATTTTGTGAATCGCATCAATATGCTGTAATTGCAACATTTAGTTTCACGTTTATTCAAAGAGGAAAGGGCCCATGAAATCCATATTATTTCTCTTAATTGCAAGGCATATACACGTGTATGTTGAACTTATTTCGCACCGTACATCGGCTGAAGGACAACTAACTTAACACAAAAAGCAGTTCTAAAGAAATGGGTTTTTAATATCGATTTAAAAGTACAAAGCTCCAATTGGCTTCCTAATATCGGTTGGAAGAGCATTCCAGACGGCCGCAGAAGCACATCGGAAAGCGTGCGATGCAGTGACCCTCTTTGTTCGATGGTTAAAAACCGAGGTAACTAGTTAATTCTTTCACGTCTCGTCAAAGTTTCACAGTTTACAAAGTATTCTTAGGTTTTTTCGGTAAAGTCACGTAGGTAAAAAACATTAAAAAGTAAAATAAAATAAAAATCACGACGTTTACTTTTTAATGTTTTTTACCTACGTGACTTTACCGAAAAAACCTAAGAATATGAATCATTGCAGTCACGAAAGCTTCAAATCTAGAATTAATTTACAAAGTGTGCGGTGGCTATCCTGTAATAGACGTTCGCTCTCTTATATACGTACGCATTTTTTTGCTTATTTCAGGTGTACGATATCTTGTGTGGAAAACGGTACGAGTCGAGAAAACCGCCCATCGTCCCGGCTGCAGGTGAGTCGAGCGGCACTCTCTCCTCGCGGCATCGCACTGCTCACCCGCGCACTTTACGTCCCCTGAGAGCAACGAATGTTAAAATTTTGGTGATTCCCGGAAGCCGTTTCAAGTCGGGAGGTGCTGCGGTGCCGAGATGTTAACTCCGTCGCCTGGTATGCAGGAGGTCGTGGGTTCGATCCCGATCCCGACGCCTGTTGTATATTTGGAGTTTGCATGTTCTCCACGTGGTCCTGTGGATTTTTCTCCGGGGCCTCCGGTTTTTCCCTCCACATTTAGAAACATGCATTTAGAGTATTTGGCTGCTATACATTTCCACGTGATAAGCCACTTCGTTGAGCTATCATTTGTGGACAGGTCATTTCTGAAAAAGAGCTATGTAGCTCATAGTGTCTTACCTGGTAAAATAAAAATTGTTTCATAGTCTCTTAGTCATGCTCCTTGCCTTTGGACATCAATCACACAATTCACGTCTAAAATGCAAACACATTTGTTTGCATTCGGTTATCATTGAACTGGCTTGATTGGGAAGATAGGCGTCCACTGCACATTTAGTAATTTTTTTCCACTTTCCTCTGTCTTGTGCCAATATGTTCCAGTAGTGCAACATCTTTCTGGCACCAATCTCTTATGTCGTCAAGTCATTTTCTGTTAGGGCTTCCTCTCTTTCCGTTTCCTTCCAATTTTATTACAGAGTTTTATTGTAAAGCTTCCTTGGGATGCTTGGATTGAAGAGCACTATGTACAAGCCAAATGACTTATATTTTATTTGCACACCCTGCCTTGTAAAGCTCAAATATTACTTAAATTAAATTGATATTATGGAGTGGGTTAAAGATAAGCAGTTAATGGGGAGATTATTCACATAATTGATGTGATTAATTGTTTTAAAATGAATTCCGTTAAACTGTCGACTAATTAACGAGTTAACTTGTACAAGTGGATGGCTTTTTTGTTACCCAACACTAAAATGTAACAAATGTCAGAAACCATCACCGCTGAACATCATAGGTTATTAGTTGATCCACCGCAATCAATTGGCAAACAGAAGTGAGTTGAATTAAAGTGTGAAATAACTACATTTCAATCTAAAATCTGCTTCAGCAATTATATTGCTCGAGAAGCAATTTTACTTTGACACTTAGCAAATCCAGATTGCGACGGTATAATATTACCGTATGTACATTTACATGTTAGAAGCTGCCTTTGTCGTGGCAGAAAACTCATGTTGCATCCCTTCTATCGACAGATCTGCGGGCAGTGCAGAGCACCGACAGCATATGTGACAGTGGATTGACGGCCTCCATCATGCACCTCAGCCTACAAGGCTCCGAGCTGGACTCTGCGTCTCTGCGCTCCGCTGCCACCAATCTCGCCGCCACCCACGTCCGCCCCGCTGACAGGAAAAGCCTGCAGTGACAAGGCCCCCATCTCTGCCGGCCCGCAAGGGCGAGACAACACTCACCCCCAGGCTTTTCCTGTCGTAGCGTTCTGTGGACGGCCCGCCTTCATGCTCGTAGAACAACATCTTCACAGAGTGGCGTCCGGTCGTGCACGTCGAGCGCTCTCGTGCGAATTCAGCAGCTCTGTTACAACGGTGAAAAAGCGCAACATTTTCTGCACGCCGCGTTGGGAATGGTGGTTCCCACGCTATCCACTCAATTCCATGCGAGCCGGTTCAGATTACCGATCGTGCAGCAACATTAACAGCAAAGACACAGGCATTGACCTGAATACATACGAAGTGGCATCTCGCGTTCAAGGAGTGAGGGGGTTGAATCGATCGTCGACAAAATACAATTCTTGCAATGACAATTCAGAGCCAGTATGCAAGCAGACAAGGTGCTCATGGAGCAATTGTGGACCAATTCCAACCTGAAACCGGCCTGAATGGAAATGAGAGGGGCAGTATGGAATGGATGGTGGAAGGCAAAGCTGAAAGGGACTTGAGGTTCAATGCATGTATGAATGTTTGTTGAACTTCTTTCGCACCGTACGTAGCCAACAGTGGCAATCGGCGATGCATGGGAAGGACAGCAAACTAGATTTAAAAGTGCATAGCTCCAGTGGCTTCATAATATCGGAATGAAGAGCGTTCCAGCCGGCCGCAGTTGCGCATCTGAAAATGCATTTTTCAGAAATATAAGGATAAGGATTGTTGATGTACATAAAACAGTGTTCAATATGATATATTTACATAATGCCTCTCTTAAATACAGCAAGTAGTTAGAATAATTGGGTTTCATTAGCTGTATAATTGGCTATACATGTGTTTTTATGTCCTGTAATATATATATTTTTTAAAGTTTGAAATGAAAATCATGTTTCATTAAGTTGTGAGCTTCAAGGGCTCATGATAAAAAAAAAACTTGTATCAATTACTATTCTGTAGCATGATTTGTTAATGTCTTTCTTGTTTTATTAACTATAATTGAAAGTGAGATAAATGTGGATCAGCCTATTAACACGTATGAAGCATTTAGTTCCATCAACATATAACTAGGTACACATCAGTGTATGCTATGTAACAATCCCACAATGTCGCAAAACTGGTCATCTGAGTGATGTTATGATTTCGTGCATAAACTTTATCATTTGTTATATCCGCTCTCGTCTTTGTCATCCCAATTGGTAAAAAATTAACCCGTAAAAACAAAGTTTTTCACTATAAATCCTTCATATGCGTGGCGGCTAGAGTCCTCTCGTCCTCTGGCTTGAGATGGCTGCCACCTATGGGTCAGACGATTGCATGGCACCATTAGGCAATTGGTAATTAAATATTATATTTTTGTCCTAAAAAGTGTAAAATTTTGGAAAAAATTTTCACGAACATTAATTGTCACGCACAAACGAGTCTGTGTGGAAAATGTCAGCTCGATTGGATCACGGGAAGTGGGTTAAAAAACGACCGAAAGATTTGCACGGTCGTAAGCAAGCAAGCAAGCGCGCAAGTGAACTTAATATAAAGGATTTAAAAAGAAAAGGAAAAGTTTTCATGACATTGATTTTCTTTTATTTGGATGCATCCAAGAGGACGCCTCCCCCAGTCAGCCCGCGTGGCGGTGAACTCTTCCGCGGGATCGTTAGAGGCAGTGGTGGCTTTGGAAGGCTTTTGTTCTATTTCGAATTTCGTGTGGTACAGAGGGTTATTTCACGTGGTGATATTTCTCTGTAAAGTTCCTATTAATTAAAGGTGTTTTATTTTCATTTACAGATTGTGACTTTGTTTGCAGTAAGTTTACTGTGGGTGTAACGATGCCTTCATTCTTGTTGAGCAAGACTCAAATCAGAATCTTTATTTGGGCTGGAGGAATCTTATGAGCTATGAAGATAACTAGCAGGGGCAGGTCAGCAAGTTACTACAACAAACGATGTAAGATCAAGATCGAGAAAAGGTAAGCAAGTCACTAAAATAAAGAAGTATAAATTGATTATAGATTTGAAGCGTTCGTGACTGCAAGGATTCATATTCTTAGGTTTTTTTTCGGTAAAGTCACGTAGGTAAAAAATTAAAATTAATAAAAGTAAAATAAAAAAAATCACGACGTTTTGGAGGCAACACAAGCTTCTGTCTTCAGGTGGAAAAAAAACCCTAAGAATAAGTATAAATTGCACAGATATATAAATTCCTGCAGATTTGTCAACACCAAATGGGAGTTTGGGCAAGGCAGCAAAACAACAGTCCGAGACCACACCAAGGCAACACACAGTCCCTCAATTATATTTGACATACAAATGTAACTCGATACACGGCTAAGGTTTAAAGTTACAAATCACATCGTAAAAAGTGGCTGTAGCTTACACTAATCTTGTGCTTAAGCATATTTTCTGAATGAAGACTTACAAGGCTGTTCTTAAACGTTGGTAACTGCAAAGGCTTTGACAACTATACCAATTTTTGATTGAAAGCTTTCGTGACTGCAGGGATTCATTTTATTGGTTCTTTCGAAACAATAAAATAATAAAAATATAAGACAATAGCATATAAGACAATGATTGTCTTATATTTTTATTATTTTATTGTTTCCCTTCTACGTGACTTTACCGAAATAATCAAGAATAACTATACCAATGCTTGTTCTAGGGATAGTTAAAAGGCAATTATATGGACGTCGTAGGTCTCTCGGGTTGGCAATGGGGTTAATGAATTAGCCACGTATAGTGCAGATTTGCCAATTAGGATTTTATGATTGAGCAGGGCCCAATGCAGATTTCACGACACCTTGTCAGAATTGAAGCTTTCTTTCCCAGGCAGATTGTACACAATTCATTATTCGTACGTTGGTCGCCGACACGGTCCCGACAAACCAAGGCCATAATCATGGAGCCAACATTGGGGGGGGACCAAATCTTTCTGGGGCTCCCCCCCCAGAAAAAAAAAATCTAAATTTGAAAACGAATTTCCTGCCTAAAATATTTAAAAAATTCACTAACACATAGGATTGACTTTTTATTAGATTTTTAACAATAATGTCTAATAGTGTATTGTATTACATTGCTCTGTTTTTTCTTTTTTCCTTTTCTTGTTTCATTGTAATGGCAGAGATTAGGGATTCATAAAGTACAACCATGACCACAATCATGAATCTTATTTTATAGCAATAACCAATCGTGTTAATTGGAGGTGCGGTGGAAAGAGTTTTCAATCTGGTGTTGAAAACCTGCTTCTGCTTTTGAACCCTTGGCGAACATCCTGCTGATCAATCACATGGCCCAAAAACATGGTAACGAACACAAATTGAAAACTCAAAAGTGCACGTAGAAGCATGGATAGATACGTGGCTTGATATGGCAGCATTTTAACTGCACGCGATAACTAAAACGATCATGAGTTTAACATGCCAGATAAGCGAAAACGGTCTGGAGAATAATCCTTAACATTGTAGACAACACTTCTCTCAAATTCAAGAGCCACCCATATAGGGTTAATAATGGCAGAAACAGTGACGATGCTAGATGCGGTTTATTGTTTAATTAGCTTCAAGGCATCGGTGCAGCAGGAATGATTTGCTGTGCAAGTCGCTGAGTACCGATCACTCACATTCGCTCGCTCTCGGGAGAACGACTCGAAACGCTCGAGGAGGAACCACAGACGACAAGTGGTAAGACAGCCGTACGGTGAGCCGGCGCCAACAACTGCCTGAGCTCTGGGGTCCCTTACACATTAAGGCTTCGGTGTTCTTCATCGCAAGGCCCATGGGACACTGGCGGCCCCTCAAATATAAAACACCCCCCAACGTTGTGCTGTCAAACCCCAATGGGTTTCAAACGTGTGTGCTCCCCCCCCCCCCCCTCTGTAAATGAGTGAAGAACGCTGTATGAAGGTGTTATTGGCCAATTAATGAGGGGAAGCTGGTGTAGCGGCCACCACCACCACAGTCTCGCCTGGACCAAAAGCCCAATTGCATCGGGAGTGGATGGTAGGCGATTTGAGGATGGCAGGATCTGGGGCGTGGGGGGGGGGGTGACATCAGCTGTCGGCCTCGGGTTTGTGTTTCTCTCTTGTTGTCGGGTCTGGGGGCTTCGGGGGCATGGCACATCGTGATATCAGACCCTCATCCAATCCATCGTCGACTGAATTGCTGATTAAAGTATTCCCAAATGGCGAGACCAATGCGACGGAGCCCCCATCACGCAAACAGACTTTGCGGCCACGCTGTACTACGTTTATTGAGCACTTCAACAAGTAACTGTGTTTTACTTCAATGTCATACATTCTCATTGAAATGCGCGTGACCTCAGCCCCTGTAGAACAGCGGTTTCTTAACATTTTCTGGCAATACCGCAGGTGTTAAAACCTATTTTATTTTTCCATACTTTGATACTGGCAAACAAGGTCCCATTTTGTTCTTCAATTTGACTGCAGCCTTATCAATCGGTAAGAAAATATAGAATGTTGATAAACACACAGGGGTTCGATGAAACAAAGTAGTTGTACTTACGTACCCGTGCTTAATTTGTGTTTTCGATTATTTAACTTCTAAAGAAATTCTGGCCACGTCTCGCAGCCCTAGAAAGGGCATCTCACATCCCCAGGGGGTTGCGTGTCACAGGTTCAGAGCCACTGCACTGGCGTGACGATGTCTTTTGTTTCTGGGAGGACATACACAAGCTCAGGAGCGGGCACAACACAGTGAATTGTTGTTTGTATATTGGGGTCGGAGCATATTCAAATATGCTCAAATGTCTCCCCTAATATATTGCTATAAACAATATATTTTTTTAAAATTGCTATGTTATGTAAATAAAAACAACAATTTGCTAAACCTTGGCCACAATATCTGGACTTGTCTTCATATAACAATGCATAGATTTCTGTTTATATGATTGTGGTTATGGTTGTACTTTATTAATCGCTAATCTCTGCCATTACATACAATGAAACAAGAAAAGGTAAAAAAGAAAAAAACAGAGCAATGTAATACAATACACTATTAGACATTATTGTAAAAAAATAAATATAAAGTCCATCCCATGTGTTAGTGATTTTTTTATATTTTAGGCAGGAAATGAGTTTTCAAATTTAGATTTTTTTTTTTTCTGGGGGTTGGACCCCTAGACCACCTGGAAGATTTGGTCCCTCCCCCTCAATGTTGACTCTATGGCTATGGCCTTGTTTGTATGTACAATATGTTGAACTTCTTTCGCACCGTACGTACCCAACCGTGCTAATAGGAGGTGTGGGGTAAAAATTACAACAAACTAAGCACGAAAAGCAGTTCTCAGGAAATGTGTGTGTTTAATCTAGATTGTATTAGTGCACAAGCTCCAACGCCTTCGTAATATCGGAAGAGGTCTTGTATAATCCTCTAGGGGGCAGTAATGCATTGCTCAAGAATTGCTGTTTAACCCCTCGGGATGAATGTGGAGGGTGTTAAGGGGTGGGACGGAGAGTTAGTTATAGGTGTGGCCGAAGGTCTTCAGCCTCAGATGAGTGTCTGATGCGGTGGAGTGAGCATCGCTACTGGGCAGACAACAACGCTCAGTGGTGGCCGTGACCACCCACGTGTAAAGTGTATCGGACCTTCAGAGGTCTGCTACTTCGCTGAAATAGTTTGTTTGCTGTTGTAGCGTACGGTAAGAGTTAGTGGTGGAGTTCAGACAGTCGTGTAGGGAGGGGCGCGGTCTTAGAAGGTTGGGTGGGGGGTGGGTCTGAGACTTGGTATAAAAACTAAGTGTCCACAGGAAGTGTTCAGTTCACCGGCTGCTCGTACGCGGTTCACAGCGGCTGAATAGACTTAAGACGTTGGTTTAAAGTCGCTGCTCAAGTCAAATCGAGAGACAAGAAGACGTCCCGCCTGGTGCAATGCACCCCCTACCCATTCCTGCCATGGTCCTGTTTCTGCAGCTTGTGAGTAACGTCGTTGTTCTTATCACCTGCTCATTCACGTCCACGTGAAACGCATTCGGCTGTCTGTTCACATCGCTTCTACCGTAATAATCATCGACCGCGGATGCAAATCTTCCATTGCTTTGACAGTCGTGGGGGTTGTTTGTTCGTACTACAGCAGGATAATCAATGCTGGTTTATACATTGAGACCCTCTTCCCGAGTTGTACGATTCATCCTACGTCTTTGCTGTTACCACCACTTTCATTGTTCGTGCCTATTCAATGAAAGTTTACTTGGGCAGCAGCCTATTGTTGTGCGGCTCCTGTCAGTGCGGTAGTCGTAATAGATAGATAATGGTGACACTGGTGACGATGTCAGAGATGGTGATCGTGTTTTAAGTGAAAGCATTTGAATCGTTCGACCAAATGACTCGCTGCCTCCCCGTGACATCTTGTATGTCACAAATCCCGCGTTACCGTAACATTGTCCAGCTTGTGTGTGTGTATAATGTACGCGCTTGCCAGTAGCGTAGTGGGTTTATAAATTGTTAGCAGATTGTTCACATATAGTTGTCGGTTATTTAATACGCGGTCAAGTCCAGCGAAATTGTGACCGCTATTTCCACATTCATCAAAACATTATTTAGTTTAACTCCCGGAGGGACCCGCACCTACAGTGACCAACTAAATTACAGTTGTTTTATTTTGGTGTTACCACAACGAGTTATTCCACATTAAAACAGTCGTCCTAGTGCTCGCCGGTGGCTAAAGATCGCAAAGAAACGCATTCGCTTTCATGACCGCAAGCCGACAGCCTAGCACTCGTATATCCAGCGTAACACACTAACAAGTGGGATGTTTCGGGCCAAACTCA